ACCGGAGGACTGTGTATAAATTGTTAATGGCGTAGTTCCTCTCAATGTGATAAACTACTTATACAAAAAATTCTTGTTAATCAGGTTTGTGAGTAAGACCAGCTGACTCATGAGTGGAGATACCTTTGTCAATTTTTGACATTTTCCCCAACTGTCAGGGAAAGGAGTTCTATCTATGGAAGATCCCGTGTTGTACTATGTTGTACTCTTGCACATGCCTCAGCTAAAGAGGACCATCAGGGAAACCATGGCGGAAGCCACGATGGGCAGATTCAGTAAGAATAACTCACCATTCCCTGCACACCGCGGCCCCTGGACACAGCGGAGCAGTCGACATCGGAGGTCCTTGCAAACTATGCAAAGACCCCAGACGTTGACAGACCCGCTTTAAATAGGAGTATCATACTTTTTTACTGCATCATTTATACCATTTATTAGCTAATAGGGGTAATCTTGTAAAGCATGCCTTTAATTAAAGAAGGAAACTCAAAGAAATACCTTGGTAGGTTAACGGATTCCCTTCCTGCAGCATATGATTGCTATGTACTACAAGACAACACTAAAATGGGAATTTAAGGTCAAAAGCTTAACTGGAAAACAATTATCTGAGTCAGCTATGCTTTCGGCTGGCCGCTCTGGCCTTAAATTTGAAATTCTCTTTAAATGTACTTTGAATTCTCACTTTAGGGTACTACCCTGATAATAATGATTGACACAGAGCCGAGATAGATGCACCCAGCTACAGGATAAAGATTTGCATGTAATCCCCCCCCCCCCCAATACATATTTGTTTAGTTTAGGGATAAGTAAACAGAATCTTAAAAAGCCTGAGAAGTGGCAGCCCCATTATCTGTGGTTCCATAGTATTGATAACCCCATACCCCGGCGAACAAAATAGATAGACCGAGAATCATGGGAGTTGTAGTTCAGCAACATCTGGAGAGCCGGAGTTTGGGGAAGCCTGTACTAGATGGTCAAGAATGTGATCGGTCCACATTTACACAGAACCAGAGGTTTACCTGCCCCTCTTAAGGCGAGCAGTTTTTTATAATCTGGCCATGAAAGGGTTAATATTTCACCAGCATTGTGCTACTTTTCTGCAAATGTAGCTCAATGTATCCACTATCCTGCCAGCTACAATATACTTACTTGCACATAGGCTGCCAGGCCAAAAAACACAGCTATTAAACCATTGCATACTCTCCACAGCCTCTGCTGGCTTTTATCACAAGATACCGAGACTGCAGGGGACAAGTTCTGCTTCCTGTCAGATCCCTGTTTATCTCTGGTCTCCATTGCTTTGATAATCAGTCTGAGGAAAGTGTCTCCTGCTGGGTAGAAAGAGTTATTCATTAATCCAGCCTGCTCCCAGGCATTGGTTCTGCATTTCCTGTTGTAGAAGTGAAGCTCAGCCCAGTCTCAGTTCTGCTGTTAACCCTTTCACTGCCAGCAAGTGAGAAAAACTATTTTAGCATCCAATTAACTGATTGACTGATCAGATGCCCACATAAATACAATCAGATACAGAAATATATGTATTTATTCATATACATACATTCATCTGTCCTTTTATAGGAGAATAGGACTTGCAATGCATACCTCCAAAGTGTCCCTATATACAAGGGACAGTCCCTATTGTCGGCCCAAATCGTTTCTATCCTAATGTCTCTCTATTGTAGGAGCTCCATAGTGTTGGTGTGTCTGAGTGTATAACAGAGCTTCACAGCAATAATACTCCCAGTAATGTGTCTGAGTGTATAACAGAGCTCCACAGCAATAATACTCCCAGTAATGTGTCTGAGTGTATAACAGAGCTCCACAGCAATAATACTCCCAGTAATGTGACTGAGTGTGTAACAGAGCTCCACAGTAATAATACTCCCAGTAATGTGACTGAGTGTGTAACAGAGCTCCACAGCAATAATACTCCCAGTAATGTGCCTGAGTGTATAACAGAGCTCCACAGCAATAATACACCCAGTAATGTGTCTGAGTGTATCACAGAGCTCCACAGCAATAATACTCCCAGTAATGTGACTGAGTGTATAACAGAGCTCCACAACAATATACTCCCAGTAATGTGACTGAGTGTATAGCAAGAGCTCCACAGCAATAATACTCCCAGTAATGTGACTGAGTGTATAGCAGAGCTCCACAGCAATATAATACTCCCAGTAATGTGTCTGAGTGTATAACAGGCTCCACAGCAATATACTCCCAATGTGTGTCACAGTGTATGCAATACACCCCAGTAATGTGTCTGAGTGTATAACACACAGCAATAGCTCCAGTAGTCTGAGTGTATAACAGCGCTCCACAGCAATAATACTCCCAGTAATGTGTCTGAGTGTATAACAGAGCTCCACAGCAATAATACTCCCAGTAATGTGACTGAGTGTATAACAGAGCTCCACAGCAATAATACTCCCAGTAATGTGTCTGTATAACAGAGCTCCACAGCAATAATACTCCGAGTAATGTGACTGAGTGTATAACAGAGCTCCACAGCAATAATACTCCCAGTACTGTGTCTGAGTGTATAACAGAGCTCCACAGCAATAATACTCCCAGTACTGTGTCTGAGTGTATAACAGAGCTCCACAGCAATAATACTCCCAATAATGTGATTAAGTGTATAACAGAGCTCCACAGCAATAATACTCCCAGTAATGTGTCTGAGTGTATAACAGAGCTCAACAGCAATAATACTACCAGTAATGTGCTATTAAACTACAATAAATGTGTTTAGAAATCAGTCTGTGTAAATAAAATACATTATTCTTGTTCTAGATTACATTTTAGCTGCATAAATTATTATTAGTAAGTCACCTAACATTTCCCAGTCACTCCCCTTGCCACACCCCTAAAAAAATGAAAGCAGAAAGATGCTCAAATTAAAGAGTTAGTCCAACCACCATGACCACCTCAGTTATTTGAAGTGGTCATGGTGGTAGGACTATGTATGTGCAGTGGTTCTGCTTGAAATACTGCACATACTGAGATATCAGCACTCGTGTGCCAGGGACTAGTTACACGCCAGACACATGACTTTTTGCAGCCCAGAACTTTTTTCCGGGCTGCCTACTGTCAATTGTGTTTATAAAATACGTTCATCCTCTGACAACATATGTAATGTGCCCCTCTGCAAAATGTAGGGGGTGGGTGGGGAAAGGGGAGGGGGATAATTAGTAGGGCCCCATAGGGCATTTTAAATGATAAATGCACCACAATTTTTGTTATCCCCTGTGGTTAATCCAGATAATTGTGCATTAAAAAAAAATAAAAAAATAAATAAAAAAAGAGATACTTGTCTTTAAAGGGTTACTCCAAGCACCATGCCCACTTTAGTGATTTGAAGTGGATGTGGTGCCTAAAGCCTGTATTTGCAGCGTTTCACTAAGACACACTACACATGTAGGTGTAACTCCGGCAGAGTCCATTCTCTGTATATGTCTTTGCCATGCACAGACGCTCATTCATTGGCTGAGAACGGACGGCTGGCACTCTCAGTCAATGAATGAGCATTAGGATCACAATATGACTTTTGCTGCTCTGCAAGCTACAGAGGTTATGATGCTTGGAGTAACTTTTTAAAAGTATACTCCAAGCACAACGCACAGCATTGGCACGGGCTCCTAGCAGATGAAGCACCAGGAGCTAAAAAAATCCAACAAGAAGATGACTTTGCCAAACACCCAGTAGCCACTGGACACCAAGTGGTGGAGTCACCATCGGGGGTCTATGGAAATTATGCAAAGATCCCAGAAAGTGACAAGGTCGCTTTAAAATGTGTTTAAAAATTGTCAGTCGTTTGTTCTTATACTGCGTTCTAATTAAAGATTATTTCACTGAACTAACAAAAATTCAAGATTTTAACTCCTTAAACAGGCTTTGGCAAATTCCTTTATTTATTTTATGTCATAACAGTGTTTCCCATAACTTAGTCAACTTCATCATATATACTAGACCAGGCATAGGCAACCATCGGCACTGCAGATGTTTTGGACTACACCTCCCATGATGCTTTGCCAGCATTGTGGGTGTAAGAGCATTATGGGGAATGTAGTCTACAACATCTAGAATGCCGAAGGTTGCCTACCCCTGTCCTAGACTGTAAGCTCGTTTGAGCAGGGTCCTCTTCAACCTATCTTTCCTGTAAGTTTTCTTGTAATTGTCCTATTTACAGTTAAATCCCCCCTCTCATAATATTGTAAAGCGCTACGGAATCTGTTGGCGCTATATAAATGGCAGTAATAATAATATAGCTCCTCTGAGCCATTGCAGACTAGAACCAAATCTCTGTGGGTGGTCATGTGACCCTTCCCAGTCACGTGATCTGTCGTGTGTACGTCACCAGGATGCGTTTCTTCCTGGTCATGTGATTTTGTATTTCTTGTAACCAGGAGGCTGGTCTTTTTGGTCACGTGACCCAGTTATGTCTGTAACCAGGAAGCTAGGCTGCATGATCATGTGACCGAGGTATGTCTGTACCAAGGAGGCTGGGCTGCATGGTCAGCTGATGTCTGTGCAGTGATGGGGGGGGGGGGGTGTCTGCTATAGGAAGTCACTGTCACTGCATTGCAGTCTTGGTGTCTTGGCAGCCCATAGCAGTATTCCTCCCATTAACCTGTACTCACCAGCTCATGGGGTAAGATCAACATGACATAAATCTACTGGTATAGCATCACTCTACCTTTAACCATTTATATATCACTGGCATTCACTGTATTCCTCTTATATTTAATCTTCATATGTTAATTTGTGCAACTGAAACCAGTGAATACATGATATTATTCTCAGCAAACAAGACTGGACATCAGTGTGTTAAGGTGGATTACAGATATTTTTTTTTTTTTACGATATTTTTACGATAAATAATAATAATGTTTCCGGGGTATAGATTGCACATGGTCATAGTGTGAGATTTTCTCAAGATCCCATAAAGAAAAACGTATAAATATCACAAACCATTGTGTAAGCTTTTCACAAGATCCCAGTATAAGGACAATAAACTGTCACAAGTGATAATGTGAGCTTTTAGCAAGATCCCCAAAAGAGACTTTAAACTGTCACAAGTTATAATGTAAGCTTTTCAGATGATCAAACAGGAGAACTTAGACTGTCACAAGCCAGGGTGTTAACTTTTCACAAGATTAGACAGAGGAATATGAATACTGTCACAAGCATTTCTTCATTTCCGATTAAATTATCTTCCAAATGCTTCCAGCTATAGTGTGATTCGCCCCTCCTCCTCCCCCCAAGATCCCATAAGAGACTTCAGACTGTCACAAGCAATGATAATGTGAGAATTTCACAAGATTACACAGAAAAGAATTCATACTGACACAAGTCAAAGCGTGAGCTTTTAACTCCCATAAAGAAAAACATCCATTTATCATAATCAAAAAGTATGAGCTTTTAACAAAATTTCATAGAAGAGGTTTAAGTCGCAAGCCTTAGTGTATAAAAGGGGGAGGGGGCAGCGCCTTGGTAAAGTCATCAGATCCATGCTGATATAAAATGTTAGAAAGTGGACAAAAAAAAACCAATATATATATATATATATTGCAGCAAATTAGTATATTGATTGTAGGAAAAAATGGAATTGCACTTACAATGATACTCCTTGGCGGTTTAGTCCCCGCCTGTGGATATGAACTTGGTCCATAAGGGGTAGTCCAGGTATATAGAAATAAAGCAAATAGTCACCCTAGTATGTCAGGTATCTTAGCTTTGCGTTAATATATACAAAGTGCCCACTCTCATTTATTGGAGCCTTCTGATGGCTCCTAGTGCAAAGCGTAGAGTGGAAAGATCCCCACTCTTGAATATATTTAGGTTAAAATCCACACCGTGGTGTATATTAAAAAAATAAAAATTAAATATAGTGCTCTCTGTGTGATGAAATAAAATAAAAGGAGATGTGCTCACTGGCTTAAATCAAAAAGTGTTTTTGGTCAATCTAAAAGGCATAGGTGGAATATTGCCCACCAAAGGAAAATGATGTCCAAATGTCAGTATGATAACAGGAAGTTCCAAGGGTAGTAAAAATACACTTATATATACTTTATTGAGAAATTGTTATACAAACAATAAAAATAGAATGAAGTAACAGACTAACATGTTACAGATGCGTAACAGACTAACGCATTCCACAAGATAGCCAGCAAAGGCTAACAGAAATGTTTTCAAAGTTTTTGTGTTATCCCTTGCTGGCTATCTTGTGGAATTTGTTCTACTGTAGGCATCGTGGTTCTCAAGGATGAGATTTAGAGGGTGGAAAGCACATACCAATACATTTCGTGAGTTTGGAGATATATATTTTTTATTTTAAGCATTCTTTATTTATGTACAGGCATGCAAGCACAAAAGCTATGTTCAGGAGCGGTGGGACCTGACTGCCATGCTGATCAGTCAGAGTTCTGCAAGAAACAACTGAAAATATTGCTTTTGGAAGCTTTATCACTTGCAGTAACATAATATTTCTGTCTATAAGTCACCTGGCAGTCTTGATGGCATCTGATTATGCTTTTCTGAGGCAGCTCGACTGATGCTTGGATGATTTTGAGAGAAGCAGACCTGCGGCCTACAAGTGGCTGATTCCTTTACCGGTTATCTGCAGCCTGTGTCTACTAACAGGGTCTGGTTCTTCACCATCTCCCCCTCTCCCTGGTTATCCCAGAAGCAATCAGATTATTATGGCTATGAACACAGCTCAAAACAAGACAAGTGTGCCCTGTCTTGCCCAAACTGGCAGACGCTGTATTATTACTCGACACCAAGGGCCAGCAGTCTTCTACTCTGGCCAAACTAGACCAGTTGTTTGCACATTATCGGGCCAAGCCAAACCTCCGACTACAGTTCTTTCAACTAGGAATGATGCCCTCGTCTCTGAGTGTCTCTCTCCCCCAGGCAGGGCATATCTATGAGAGGGCACTTACTCATACCTCCTCATGATGCTGTAGGCCCCGTATCCAAGGTCTTGCATGCAAGTGAATGATGGAGATCTCTCTCACAGCTACCTATGTTCCAGAAGTCTGGAGTTCACGATCTGCTGCTGTGGATACTGCAACCCGCCAGGCTCTTTGTCTGGACTCCCGCTTGCATATAGGCTTCTGACTGCCTGGCTGTATGTAGTAATATGGACTTTTGCTCAGCTTTTTTTTTTCTAATTTCCTACATTTGACACGCATCAATTAGGAATCTTCAACCAGTGCATGTGTTATCCTTTATTATCTTTTCATTAATCCTCTAGCAATGTGTTCTCTTTGTCTTTATTTTATTATATTCTTTTAAAAATGGGCAATCATTTGTAACTTACTAAGACGGATATTGTTATTCTTACATGTTGGATCTTTTACCTCTATATTTGTTATCGACTAATATTTCGACCTTATCTGTAGATTTTCATTGCACGTCCAAAAAAAACCAACATTTTGGTCAGTACAATTTTCTAAAAAGTCATGCAGATTTGCAGTTTTTACAGTTTTGAATTAAGAGAATTGATGATTCTATAGAAATTACTTGTTTTGTCAGTGTATTTATAAAATGCTAACATAGGCCCTGATTTAATAAGCATTTTTGCATAAACTTAAAATTATATATTTTGAAAAATAAAAATTTTTATACATTGATTTTTTTTGTATATATGATATTCTATTATATTTTAATAGTTTGGGGGGGAGGGGAAATTAAAAGTTTATCCAAAAATATTCAAAAATTTGAAAAGTTTATCCAAAATATTAAATCGAGGCCATAATCAGGATTAAACATACAGCTGTAGTTCTAACTATTTGTCTTTGTGAAATTGTGCCACTTACTTTGATTGTACTGGCATAGCTATCATATTCGTGCTGCTAATTTCTCTATGGAAATTCCATACAGGAGGAAGCCTTTGGAATGTGACGTATACATGACAAGTTCATGGCAACACACAAGGTGAGGCAGGTTGAGTGAGGTTCATTATTATTAAGACTGTCACATAAAGTACACAGTGACATGAAAATGACTGTAATTACTTTGTAATGATAGCACAATATGAGTGAACTAGATGTAATGAATAGTATTAGAGCGCTCTCTACTGGGTTGAAGGAGAAATAATCTAAGGGACAATTGTTTTACTATTGATATTGAGATCTGAGATGATGCAAAGTTTAAGGGACATTCCAGGCACCAAAAAAACTTCATCTAAGTTGTTATGGTGCCACAAGGCCCCTAGAGCAACTCTTACCTTGAGAATGGTTAAACCCCAACGTTGCCTCCAGAGGCGATTTCCACTCCTCCACCGGCGGCATCTGGCTTCAACATTTTCAGATTCAGGAGGCGCGGATTGCCGCTGGGCAGGGACGCTGGTGATTGGCTGAGAGCAGCCAGCTGAAGGTCTTGGCCAATCAGTGACTCCCTATTCACTAAACTGACTTCTAAAGAAACATGCTTTTCTCAAGCTCAGCCAATCAGCGTTCAATAAATTGAACTTTAATCACTCACAGGGTACTCCTGCAGGGTCTAGCAGGCTATTAACAGAGCAGGAGATAATAAATTCTATATTAAACAGACTGTGCAATAAACAAAGTTTAAACAGTAGATCTCACTTTACAGGAAGTGTTTAGGAAGGCTGTGTAAGTCACATGCAGGAAGGTGTGACTAGGGCATAAACAAAGTTATTAAACTCCTAAATGGCAGATAATTGAACAGTTAGACTGCAGGGTCATGATCTATACATCAAAACTGCTCCATTAAGCTAAAGTTGTTTTGGTGACTATAGTGTCCCTTTAAGTAGAAAAACATAGATTTCTCATGGATGCCAACATTTTAATAGAGATGTAAATGATAAACAATATAAGATTGAGACAGCCACTGTGGGAGAATTGTAAGAGCAGTTATCTTTTCTTTGGTTTGTACTTAAGTGTATTTTTGCTTTGTCTGTTTTAGAGGGCAGAGACCTTGATGGATTCGGTGTGTGAAGATATGGAAGAAAAGCTTGAACCATATTTTAGTTTCGGAATCATTGCTGATATTCAGTATGCCGACATAGACAATGGTTACAACTTTATGAAGACCAGGATGAGATATTACAGAAACAGCCTGACTCTCCTAAAAGAAGCCATTCATGAGTGGGATATGGAAAGCACCAAACCTAAATTCATCCTCCAACTTGGTGATATCATTGATGGCTTCAACGTTCCCCAGAAAACGTCCGACACATCGCTTGCTAGAATACTGGCAGAAATGGAAAAACTGAAGATCCCTTTCCATCACATTTGGGGGAACCACGAATTCTACAATTTCAAGAGAAAATATTTAATGGAATCTAAACTGAACTCTAAACCATTAGAAGATGAAATTGGTCAATTGACCATAAATGAAGATACCAGCGAGACCAGAAGTGACCAGGAATCTTTCTATGGCTATCATTTTAGTCCTTATCCCGGATTTCGATTCCTCTTAATTGATTGTTATGACCTCAGCGTCATCGGTAGAGATACAATGAGTATCAAATATGGGATGTCGTTAAAACTCCTCAAGGAAAAGAATCCCAATGAGGATATGAACAGCCCTAGAGGTATGGGATAGTTTTTTAAAAGAAATGGGCAATAGGTTGGAGTATGTGATTTCAATATAGATGTTATTAAGTGGGAAACACGTGCCATGGTGTAAAGTAAGATGATAATGCGATGTTGCGTCTTTGTTACCAGGTTTTAACTGCTCTTTCAGATATTAAATGTCTCTGAATGTAACACATCTAAAAGGGGAACCATAACACATACCAGTTTTTCTAATATTATGTTTACTTGTCCCCTATATTTAGCAAATATGTGTTTGTGAAGTCTGAAAAATAAAATGAAATGTAACAATTTACACTTCAGAATATACTTAAATCCTGTAACTGGTGCCTCCATCTTGGCTACCTTTCAATCCTCACTTTCTTGCCTGTAATTATAGTTAAAGGAACACTATATGGTCAGGAAGACAAACCTTTATACCTGATCCTATAGTGTTAAAACAACCATCTAGCCCCTCATGCCTCTCTTCTTGCCCCTTAAATATAGTAAGATCTTAATTTTGTTCAGTTCTGCAGCTGTTGGCTCTGCCCCTGATCTGTCTGCTTGGCTGACATCATCAAAAGTGTTGTTCTGAGCCAATCACAATGCTTTCCCATAGGATTGGCTGAGACTGTCAAGGAGGCAGATCAGGGGCAGAGCCAAACACAGCCTTGACCAATCTGCATCCCCTCATAGAGATGCATTTGTCACGGCCCCCGGCTTGCGGCTGCACATGTTCGCACCCGATCGGTGCGACCACACTGACAGGTTTAAGAGCTTACCTGTTCAGCAGCAAGCCGGGAGCCGACCCGCTGGGGCGTTCGTCCCCATTTGTAGCTCCGCCTCCAAAGGTCACACAAACGTGTGTGTGAGACGTCACGACGCACATGCACGTTCTGGGGTCAGAGGCCAAGCCCTGACCAATCACAGCCCAAGGAGGGATATTTAAACCCCTGAATTTCCCTAGTTCATTGCCCTGTCATGGTTTCTTTTCCTGGTTCCCGAGAGTGCGTTTTCTTGTCCTTGTTATTGATATTCCCGGTATTCTGACTTTGGCTATTCCTGACTATTCTGATCCATGGTTTCCCTGACTTGGCTTTCTTATCGATCTTGTGTATTTCTGGCTTCCTTGACCTCGGCTTTCCCTTGACCATGCTCTGTCTTTCAACGTATTAATCTGGCCATTCTAAGGACCGGTTTACTTTCTGTCTATTTTTCTATTCTATTCAGATGTTATATAGTTTTGCGTGTTGGATCACAGTCGTTGTGACAGCACTGAATCAATACATCTCTATGAGGAAAGTTTAGTGTCTCCATGCAGAGAGTGGAGACACTGAATGCCAGTGCTGCACAGTGCAGCACTGCCCCAAGAAGCACGTCTAGTAACCATCTGAGCATAGAAACATAGAAACATAGAATGTGACGGCAGATAAGAACCATTCGGCCCATCTAGAGCAGTGGCCAGTGGGGGTGTTCCTAGGCAGTAATGTAAACACTGCATTTTCTCTGAAAAAAGCCTGAAGGGAATGATTCTATTCACCAGAACAAATACAATAAGCGGTGGAATGGAAGAGTTTAATCAGAATATTTTTGCTTTCCTCCTCATTTACATCATCTGCCTTGACTGTGCCTGGATTGAACTGCATTGTGATGTAACTTGCTAAATATATTAATATACATTTAAAATAAAACAGAGATTCATGAGAAAAAAAAAGTTGGCCTATGGACATGAGTTTAGAAGGAAATTTCTTTCATGGTTATTCATTAAACTTCACGCTTTGCTGACATACGGGAGTGTCCACTTGGGTATTTATTTATGTCAAAACACAATGTAGCCCCGGTGCTACTTTTTCTATTGTTTTGTTTTTTTACATGAAACCATACATTTACCATGCTTCTTATTGTAAAGGGGAGTTTTATATTTCATATTTAGTGTGGATTTATTTTGTTTTTATGTTTTTCTCTGTTATAGGACTAGAAGAAGAGCAGTTTGTACAATTTAATGGCGGCGTCAGTGGGGCTCAGTTAAACTGGATCAATAGCGTGCTTGCATCTTCAGATGAACAAGACGAGAAAGTGGTGGTCATCGGTATGTAGGGGTTTAAGTTTAGAATATCTCAATGGACAAGTATTTTATAGATTGCTCCTTTCTTATTATATTGATGCAAATGGCTGACATTTTCTGAAAATAGATTTTGTTTACTGCCACACCTAAACCCGTTTTGTTTTGCTCTTTAAAGGGACACTTTAGTTACCAGAATTACTACAGCTTATTGTATTTGTTCTGGTGAGTAGAATCATTCACTTCAGGCTCTTTGCAGTAAACACTGTCTGTTCAGAGAAAATGTTTACATTACAGCCCATGGATATCTCCACTGGCCACTCCTTAGATGGCTTCCTAGGGCAGTGCTGCAACCTGTGCAGTACTGCCATTCAGTGTATCCACTCTCTGCATGCAGACACTGAGCTTTCCTTAAAGAGATGCATTGAGTCAATGTATTTCTACGAGGAGATGCTGATTGGCCAGGGCTGTGTTTGATTTGTGCTGGCTCTGCCCCTGATCTGCCTCCTTTACAGTCTTAGCCAATCCTATGTGAAAGCATTGTGATTGGCTCAGACCACCAGATCTGATGATGTCATCAGATAGCAGGCAGTTCAAAGGCAGCAGCTGCAGACTTTAATACAAGTAAGATTTTACTATATTCAGGGATGCAAAAGGGACCAGGGGGGGCTAGATGGTGGCCCTTTAATATGAAATGAACTTTGCAATCTACTGATACAATAGATAGGAGCTCCAGTCTACAACAAAACATGTCTACATTGTAGTTTGCTGGCTGTGCCTTACTTGTGTTAGACTGTAGTGTAGATAGAAACTTTAGCCTCTCTAAATATACCCATTCTGTGTGCTTCTTGTTCAATGTCAATAGAAGCTAATTACTACATTATAGTCGCTTTTTCTGCTTGTCACATGACTGATTGGAGCTGTGAATTGAAACAAACCTATGTAATATTTTTGACACTTCTGTTTACGTATTTTATAATACCATGCCTTTATTTAACTCTTATGATTTTTATGACTTTTTTTCCCCCCCCGTACAGGTCACCTCCCCATCCATTTAGACTCCACAGATGCTATTTGTTTGGCCTGGAATTACAAGGAGATTTTGTCAGCGTTACAGTCCCACCCCTGCGTAATTGGATATTTTGCAGGACACGACCACGACGGAGGGTACTCTGTGGATGCTAGCGGAATACACCATATAACTTTAAAAGGGGTTATAGAAACACCTCCTGAGAATCAGGCCTTTGGGACGATGTATATGTACGAAGATAAAATGGTTTTAAAAGGACGAGGTCTGGTTTTAAGCAGAACTTTACATTATAGAAATGGCAGAAAGGAGGAACCTGTGCATTAATTTTATTTGTAGTTAATTGAGTGAATTCTTGACAATCCATTTATAGAAACAGAAAATTACAGAAACTTGTAGGTTTATACAGGTACTAACAGACATGAGGCAGGGCTGCTTTCTGGAACTATCGTATTATAACTCTAACACGTTAAACAGCAAAGGTTATACATACACACAAACCTGAACAGAAAGACGCTATTGCTGTAGAAGCCATAACAAGAGACGCAAGTCATCACATGTTCTGGCTCAAAGAGCTCTCTCCAAGAATGTCTTGAGTGTAATTAAAATAATTTAAACGTCTGTTATTCATAGAGCTGACTCCGTCCCCTTACTCCCAGAATCCTTTGAGGGTGGGGGGTGAGCCAAGAGCCAAAAATTGCAGCGAATTAACTATGCGTGTATCTGGATTATTTTGTTTTATTAAACACAATCTCAAGAATTTTATTTACAAATGAAATTACTTTTTTGTCATTCTGGCAATGATCCTAAAAAATGTTTTTTTTTATACATAGATCTCATACAGTGCAACTTTTGTAGGAACATTGCTGGTTAAGTGTTAATGTATTGTCACGGTACCTGTGGCGTCAGGACTTTTGTTGTTCTTGCCCTCTGATATATTAATTCACACCTTTTAAAATTGTATTTATATCGACTCATTTCACTCCTTTACTGCCTCTTTTTCCAGACATGTAACGTAACAGCGCCAGTTTACATTCAGCATTATAACCCTATCGTATAAACCAGGGAATGACAAATAACACTCAAAATATTACTTAGTTAATTAATTTTTAAGGTGTATTGTCATAATGTAGGATAACTAATTGGGATTGTATTAATTACCTTTTTATCTTGTCTGCTAGAAAAGAATAGGGTTAGGTTAAAGAATCACACAGAGACTGCCCTCTGTAACCGAACAAATTTAGTTCATGTTACATAGAGAAATTTACCTCTTGGGTGTCCAGCCTTGGCCCTTCATTAGCTATTTAACTCTATTTCTCTGCTCATAGTATATGCAGTTATTTTAGTTGTCAAAAAGATTCAGACATCATTGTCACCAAAAATATCTTAAATGTTTTTACAGCGATGTGTCTAATAAAAGAGGGAATTCCTTTGTAGTTTTTATAGATTGAAAACAGGCAGGATTAATATTCACTAAAGTGAGAATCGTCATATATTCAAAGTGAATTTCTAATTTTAGACCAAAGTAGCCGAGCTAGAAGCATTGTGACTTGGAGAATTTTTTCAGTTTAGTTATTTTGGCCTTAAATTCACTTTGCATTTCCTACAGTGCTTGCCTCTGGGGCCAGCCAAGTCGGTTTCACATGCAGCACAGATCATGTATTACAAATAAGGGGTTATTCACTAAATAGGGAATTGTGGAGAGATTTCACAGGCAATGCAGATCACTTTAGCGTATAACCATGATATAAATGTGTAAATTACAGGTATAATGACCCAGCAGGGGACATGAGAAGCAGTCTTTGATCAATGATTGTGAATATTGATAGTAATTTTGGTATTTATTGAATAAACCTTCTACTGTTTACAAGGGTGAGAGTGGTGGAGCACCCCAGAAAAGTTGGGGTGAAAAGGATGGAGTGTGTAGAAGTCAGTGGGTCTTAAAGGACCACTCTAGGCACCCAGACCACTTCAGCTTAATTAAGTGGTCTGGGTGCCAGGTCCCTCTAGGATTAACCCTTTTTTTTATAAACATAGCAGTTTCAGAGAAACTGCTATGTTTATAAATGGGTTAATCGAGCCTCTAAAGCCTCTAGTGGCTGTCTCATTGACAGCCGCTAGAGGCGTTTGCGTTCTTCTCACTGTTTAAATCACAGTGAGAAGACGCCAGCGTCCATAGGAAAGCATTATGAATGCTTTCCTATGAGACAGGCTGAATGCGCGCGCAGCCCCTGCCGCGAATGTGCATTCAGCCGAAGATTAGGATTGGAGGAGGAGAGCTCCCCGCCCGGCGCTGGAAAAAAGGTAAGTTTAACCCCTTTCCTTGCCATCCAGCCCGGCGGGAGGGGGAAACGAGTATGTTTTCCTGGCACTATAGTGGTCCTTTAATTTGAGTTATCATATACTTGAGCAATACCTTATCTGTTGTAATCTGTATGTCGATTACTTGTCAAATATCCCAATTGTATAATTGTAAAGTGCTGCAGAATAGGTTGGTGGGTATAAGAATGTTAACAACAGTAATCACATATAGACTGTAAGAGACAGATACAATATATTTCACAATACTATTGTCATTGTTCTCTTTCCTCATTTGCAAACTGCAGTTTGGATTTGGTACCACTAGATGGTAGGCATTAATTGTGACTTGTAAAATGCTGAATACTACGACCACTGCTTAGAAGTTGCATAAGTAGCTGTATTTGTTCAGTAATGCAAAAACAAAATGACAAGAGTATTGAGGTATTGTTCCACCTGTTTTATTGTGTTAATATAGTTCTAAAATGGCAAGTTTGAGGATAACCCACTTGATAATCTCCTGAGAAATCAGAGTTCCAAAATGTTCCTAGTTGAAGAAAAGTGGTATTTATAAGGAGCAGTAAAACCTAATGCAGTTGGTCAGCCAAGGATCTGTAAATAAGGCTTAAATCCCAAGAGGTATAATGGCTACCTTTAGCCCTTCACTGCATGACCCCCATCATACAGCTTTTAAAAAGTAGTCTAGCTCACCGGTGTACTTTCTAAAAACTTATGTACCAACTGCTTTATTCTGAAAGGGAGTTGTCAACACAAGGCTAGTATTGCATATAAACATACACACAGGGTTATTCAATAAAGGCAAAACTGAAAGTGAATTTCAAATTTAAAGGGATACTATTACAAAGCTGTATTCCTGGCACTATCGCTCCCCTGCCTTACCCTCCCTTGTGCCGCTCCGCCCAGGTGAATAAAGGGTTAAAAATCATTTATTTACTACCTGATCCCAGCGCCAATGTCCCTTGGCATTGGGTCGATGCTCCGCCCCCTCCTTCCCGCGATGAGCGGGCACTAATGCGCATGCGCAGCAAACGCCCTGCCCGCATTAGACCTCCCCATAGGAAAGCATTATATCAATGCTTTCTTATGGGGAAAAATCTGACGCTGGCAGTCCTTTATGTAGAGCGTGAGGATTTCCAGCTTCAGATACCCTGCTATCCCAACCCAGTCCTCAAGTACCCCCTACCAGTCCAGGATTTAGAAATTACCCTGTTGTGTCTAAAGTGTTTTTCTTTCTAAAAACACCTTAGACAGAAATGGGTGATCCCTAAATCCTGTACTGTTATGGGGTACTTGAGGACTGGGTTGGGAACCACTAGTCTAGATGATAGTTTCATGTGTCTACCCATGAATCCTTACTTGCAGTGTAAATGAACACGTTATGCTCAAGGAATCTATGGGAAATTAGGTAGGTTAACTCATTAGTGTAGTTGTGCTCGGCAATGGTCTGCTGACCTTGCTGTACCTAGAGTTGAGCAATTTCCTTAGTCATAACCAACATTTTGTAGGATTATTTCACGGTTCAACAATGCAGTCTGCCAGGAATCAGCCTCATAGATTTCTATTAAAGATTAAAAAGCCCGTAGGTGTTTTTTTTATTTCAATGTTCGTCTAACGTAGGCAAGCTTTCAAAAGCTGCCTTACACAATGCTTAACCCCTTAAGGACCAAACTTCTGGAATAAAAGGGAATCGTGACATGTCACACATGTTATGTGTCCTTAAAGGGTGGTGTGGGAAGGGGGGATAGAGGAAAAATTGAACCATTTTGACAATAGTTTTTACATCTCTAGTGGAATGCATATACACCATAACAACCGAGCTGTGAATATGCTGATAGCAGCTGCAGTATGGCTCCTTGAGTGGTATCACTCACTCTGTGTAATGAGTGAAGCTGTTACTGGAGGATAAACTACATATCTTATAAATTACTGTTCAATAAGAAAAAAAATAAACATAGACTAGAATGAATGTCACTTGAGTAAACTAAATGCAACAGTTTTAGGATTTTAAAGAAATATACCAAGTACTATAACCAGTACAGCCCACTGTAGTGATTATGGTGTCGGTAGTCATTTTAGCACGGTTTGACAACTTACCTGTATGTCTTCCGAGCACCCACTCTGTAATGGCTGCATCTGTTGTTCACCAGCAGAGAAGCCATATGTATCTGCGTAGAACAAAGCAGGGGCCATAGTTATGATCCGAGAACATCAGCAGAGCACTCACAGCTAGTGAGCACAGTCCTCCATTGGACGACTGACTTTGCTTTCAAGAGGAAGGATAGAAAACGGACACAGGTTAGGCCCAGGTAAGTCATCCAATAGATCCAGAGTGATGTAATAGATACACAGTGTGATCCAATAGATCCAGAGTGATGTAATAGATACAGTGTGATCCAATAGATCTAGAGTGATGAAATAGATCCAGAGTGATGTAACAGATACACAGTGTGATCCAATAGATCCAGAGTGATGTAATAGATACAATGTGATCCAATGCGATGTCCTAGATACAGTGTGATTCAATGGATCTAGAGTGATGTAATAGATACACAGTGTGATCCAATGTGGTGTCATAGATACACAGTGTGATCCAATAGATCCAGAGTGATGTAATAGATAAAGTGTGATCCAATAGATCCAGAGTGATGTAACAGATACACAGTGTGATCCAATAGATCCAGAGTGATGTAATAGATACAGTGTGATCCAATAGATCCAGAGTGATGTAATAGATACAGTGTGATCCAATAGATCCAGAGTGATGTAATAGATACAGTGTGATCCAATGCGATGTCCTAGATACAGTGTGATTCAATGGATCTAGAGTGATGTAATAGATACACAGTGTGATCCAATGTGGTGTCATAGATACACAGTGTGATTCAATGTATCCAGAGTGATGTAATAGATACACAGTGTAATCCAATAGATCCAGAGTGATGTAATAGATACAATGTGATCCAATGCGATGTCCTAGATACAGTGTGATTCAATGGATCTAGAGTGATGTAATAGATACACAGTGTGATCCAATGTGGTGTCATAGATACACAGTGTGATTCAATGTATCCAGAGTGATGTAATAGATACAGTGTAATCCAATAGATCCAGAGTGATGTAATAGATACAATGTGATCCAATGCGATGTCCTAGATACAGTGTGATTCAATGGATCTAGAGTGATGTAATAGATACACAGTGTGATCCAATAGATCCAGAGTGGTGCAATAGATGCACAGTGTGATCCAATAGATCCAGAGTGATGTAATAGATACACAGTGTGATCCAATAGATCCAGAGTGGTGCAATAGATGCACAGTGTGATCCAATAGATCCAGAGTGATGTAATAGATACACAGTGTGACCCAATAGATCCAGAGTGATTCAATAAATACAATGTGATCCACTGGATCCAGAGATATTTAATAGAAACACACTGTGATTCAAT